CGGACTTGCGGCTCACCATTCCGTTCATTGCCGCCTCCACCGCAGCCTCCATCCCCTCTTCTCCTGCCGCCACGTAACCAAAATCGTGGGTCTGGCCATAGCTCGGTTGCCACCGTCGTTGACATCATCGTCGGAGATTGCATTTGCATCGTGGCGAACTGATCAAATATTTGATTATTATTCACCGATATGTATTGCTGTTGCGCTGCGCTCTCAGGCGTTTGCTGTGTGTAAGAGAAATTTTGGGACCGTCGCTGTTGTTGAATATTTGATGAAGGCGGCTGTGGCGGCGGCGATGATCCTCTTTTGGAGTCGTCAGGATGAGAGGGGATGGATGATGAGTATGAAACGTAAGTGGACGGAATGCTGACCATCAACTGCGTTGGTGACGTTCGATTGTCAACCGTCGAGGTCGAAGGTTCTCCTCCGTACGCCTGGTTTGCCATGGTAGGTGATATCTTGACGTTGTGCGCCACCGGCGATTGTGAGGATAGGCTTGTGGGAATGCAATTTTCTTCATGAGAAAATCTTTCCCGGTTGTCGATTAAGACCTTCTCTAAGGCTTTGACGGTTTGACCGGCTAGCTCAGCGATTATATTATTATCTTCATAGAATCGGCAGATTTTGATGGTCTTCATTATATTTCTGAATGCGGGAATGGCCAATCCACGTTGGTTCGAAGCGATGTTGATCATATGTACTTTCGCGGCTTTCCCGAGGCAATAAAACATGGTGGGGAATGTTATGCACACGTTTATATTATTCAGAGCCTCCACTAGATAAGTTTCGAATTGGCGTTGGCATTAGTACTGACGCTCTTTCCCTTTTTCTTATTTTAACTTTTTGTGGCAAATAAAATCGAAATGCAATGCAAACATACCACCGATATGTGTGATTCGATTCGCGGCCGACGTGCATACGCTCAAAGATCTCGCGTACGCCCTGGAGTTCCTCGCGTTTTGCGATCGGGAGTTGCTGTTAGCTGCGATGTAGGGATAATGAAGCATCAGGAATAATGCCTGGTGATGCATGTGAATCGAAGCAATGTGACCCGGCAGTTGCTTCGTGTGCTGTGGGGATGGTACGTAGTGTAGATAAGGTGGCAACTCACGTAGCCAGGATTCAAGCAGGTTCTCGAAATTTGATACCATCACGTGATGGTTCCAGGACGAGGAGATTCCCATGCAAGAGACAAATTGCAGGTGTTCAATGATTTGACCGGTCAGTCTCGCGAGCTTCGCAAAATTAGCAAAAATATTGATCTGCTGAGCATATGTGGAGCTGTGGGTGTTGATCGGCTGAGATGACGATTGTTGTTGCTGGTCATCTTGATCGTCAACTTCGTCCGGCGACGGAAATTCAATGTCACATATCTTGTCATTGATGGCCAAAGGGTCACCGGTGGAAAGACTGTTCAACCTGTCGATTATGAAACATCCCCACCACACTAGCTTTTTCGTTTGTCGACCTTTCCCTTGGTATACGTTACCATTATGACGATTCAAGCCTATGCTTTGTGCCATTCTGACGGCCATGGAAGAGTACGTCTGCGACCTGTACGATGATGGCTTTCCCTGATCCACCATACACAAGAGGATCAATGCCTGGACGGTTGACAGCCTGGGAACGTCGATAAAATGATCCAACAAACCTAGGCGACGAATGATTGCGACACGGAAAGCGCAGAGAATCAATCGGATGCGTAGATGAAAAAGAGTGAGGGAGAGGGGAATCAGGAGGTGATGAAATGAAGGAACTTACCCCGGGCCCTTTCGTAATAAATTGACGGGTTAGAGGAGTCGGTCAAAGTTGGAGGAAATAGAGCGCCAACAGCGTAAATGGCATTGAGAAGCAACGGAGAAGGTTGGTCTTCGACATTCAAGCGTCTGAAAAATTGACCTCTGTTGACTATCGGAAAGTAAGGGTGAAAGTGATTGAAGTACTTCTCCAACAATTGTCTTTCGACGTCGGATTGCAGGGATTCGAGGTTTGGTATGGAAGTAGGCAGCGGCGGCTCGACATACATTCGTACATTCGATTGATCCTGACCGACGAGGAACGACAAGGTCCTGCTTTGTAAACTGTTATCCGTGAACGGAGATATCAGATTTTGTTGAAGGCAATCTTCGTCATCACTAGGGAGATCCTCGTTGAAGGAGGGCGCCATGTTCTGAGAATGATCCAACAATCCATTTGAATCGGCGGGCGGAGTGGACGGAATGAACAGATGTTGAGTGTTGGTAGTAGTGATGGCATTTGATGGGGAATATTGACGGATCTTGAAGGTGGAAAATCTTTGATGTGTGCTTGTCGTCGTCTCCTCGATTGTCTGTTCGCTTTCCCTTTTAATCTCCTTGCTAGATTCGTTAATGTTGTCCTTGTTGACAAGGTTGACCAAGAGGGATTCGATGGTGTGCAGTCTGTCTTCTATGAGCGCCACAAATCCTTTAGGAGGTCCTCTAGGCCTTTTCGTTGAGGCATCCGAAAATGTGCATTGATAACCTAAAAATAATTTGAATGAAAGATCAATCTCCGAGGCTTGACGAAGACGCACGAAAGGGTAATAACGAAATTGACAAACAAACCTCCTCGTTGACAATTGGCACACGGGGAGGCACCATCGCATTTAACTTTTCGTCTACGACAGGTATCGCAGGCCGTAGTAATTTTCACACGTTTGTTTTCATGAGAATCACCGGACTCGTCAACAATCATATCGTCTAATATGAACAAACTCATGACGAAGCGATTGAACTCTTTGTTGTTGCTATTTTTAATTTCGATAAGGATTCGATGAGAGCAAGTTTTTTTAACCGAATTCTATGGTATGCAAAATGAAATACTAATGTTTTTTTTTCTGTTCTTTTTTTTTTTTTTTTGAGAGGGAGGGAGAAGAATGTGTTTTATATCTCGGTCTTTTCTATTGACGAAATTTTTGCTTCCCTTGCCAACCTTTAGCAAACAAAGGAAAGGAATTGTAAAAAAAAAAAAAAAAAAAATTTTTTTGATTTTTTTTTTTTTTTATGCGCGTAAGATCTTGTCACTGAAGGAACTCTAGGACCATTATTCTCTTCCTTATATCGCCCAGGATCGATTCTCCATGCACTTTGATCGAACAATGCGGTGACGATGGGAAGAGAATGGGATCGTTTTGATGGGAAAGTATCCAAGGATGAAGAAAACCTTTTTTTCTTTTTATTATTTTATTGATTTTTTTTTATTTTATTATTTTTTTTTTATTTCTGAGGATTTGATAGGAGCAGTTTTTCGGAATGAAAAGATTTATACACCCTTATTAGTAACAATCTCGAATCGAGAAGGGCTGTAATTTCGCTGATAAGAGGGAGGATGGATGGAAAATAAAATTTCTGCAATGTTAGCTTGATTATAAGTACTCCCTAATGGTTTCACAATGAGACGTTACACTTTTATATTGCTGTAATCTATTGAATCTAATAACATGCGCATATATAATATTAAAAATATTTATATATATGCTCATTTCGGGAAGTTGCGTTCATGTGTAACGTGATGTGAGGTGGGGGGAGTAAAAAATTTTTTTTCTTTAGATTTATGCAATCGATACAATTTCGTATGCGAGACCCGTTGAGATGGCATAAAATGGCCTAACGGTAAGCCACAATTTGTCGATCGTAATTGGTTTTTTTTTTTTTTTTTTTTTTTTTTTTTTTTTTTTTATTTTGTTGCTCACAGCTATTCGAAAGCGGGGTTCCCCTTTCGCTTGCTTTTGCGCGTAACGAAGATCTCGGTGATATTTACGACCTTTCCCAAACCATCGCTTCTTCTTAAACTCGAAACCTGAGCCACAGGACACACCTCACCCCTGTCCCATCGTCAACGCATATGATAAGAACCTATCATTGTCACGGTGACGGTTAATCGACAATCAGGTGATTGTTACCAGAATTCTACAGTTGGAATTAATGTTCTTGAACGAAATAATTTAAAAGAATTGGGGGTGCTTGTGAAAAAAATAAAAGATAGAAAGAATAAAAAAAGAATGAACGTCAAATATATAAATGAAACAAATGATATTTTTCACATCACGTAACATATACATTCAAAATACAACATGATATCAACTTTCTTATGTCAGATGAAAGGTTGGCTGGTTCTGTTGTTCGTTTCTTTCGGGTTCCATCTGACATAATCGGCGATTAATTGAACTACGCAAAACCGTGACGTGTTGGGGGAGGTGAACGAACGTGACTCATGATTAATGACCAATCATCGCGGTCTTCGAAAAAAGAGAGACCGACATTTACGGTAAATAATAATTCAGTAGGGTTGAATAACCTTTCTTTCAAGATAACATGTAACAGACAAAAACAGGTTAATACACGAGGACGTGTTACTGTAGAAAGTGATGTAACGTAAACAAGAAACGCCATCTATCGATTCACCTTTTGGTTCTTCATTGCTACTGTGTAAAGTGTAATTCTCTTTTGGCCCAAATTACATGCGCAGTACATACAGTATTTCTGCACGAGTGCAGCACTTCACATTCTTCAAAATATCACCTTCAAGAGAAATCGAAAGGAATGTTTGATTTTCACATGTCCCATTACTCCACCATCCTAATCAACTTTCTTTATGAATAGGTAACGTGCAGTCCGCAGTAAGCAAGCTGGTGTTACAGAAGAGGGAATCAGCCACCCATTAATCGGGGCCCCACCTCAGATAACAAATCACCGGGATCATGAAAAAAAAAAAAAATCTGACGTCGTGGCGCTTAACTCCCGAAAAAAAAAAAAAAAAAAAAAAACGCCAACCTACAAACAATCGATTTGCTCTCTGAAAGACGAATTGTTATTAAGGCATCGAAATTTATGCAGAAAGTACATTTTTGGAATTGAGTTAACTTTTTGTCATATTGCATATCGCGAATGACTTAGAATGCTTTATTTGTGGCTTCTATGTTTTTCTGCATCATTCGCTATTTCTAATTAAAGGGGGAGGGAAGATTGAGCGATTAAATCGACCACAACTTAAAACAATACCATAATTAATTTTTGGTAACAAGATCTGACGATTCAGCTAGTAAACAAGTTGAGACCCCATGCAGACGAGACCCTGTGAAAAAGAAAAATGAAAGCCTGATTCACGGAATAGACAAAGAATTCGAAAATCTTTACCACATTCAGTCAAGCTCCATATTTCAAAATGTGGGCATCGGTTTCTCCCCATCCATAAACAATACCCTGTGCTTGGACCTCGCGATGATCATCGGACGAGGCTTGGTGAATGACCAATCCCTCCACTTCAACACAATGAACACAATGAAGGTTTGAATCGAAAGCATACAATTAATAATAGCACAATACAAATAATCAGCATATTAAAATGAACTTCGCAACATTACCTGTAAACTCTCGTCATTATTAATAATTCACCACTATTGCGTATATCGTTTGTGCGCTTTGAATAAGTGAGCGGATGTTTCAATTCGTCCGCAAGATACCTGCACAGTATAACCCGCGCGAAATTACATTCAGTATGGGCGCGCATTGATAAATCTGTGGATCATGAACTTGAATTTAAGAGGACTGTCGTGGTGCCACAAGGCGACGGACATGCGTATCATATCCAAAAAAAAACAAAATAGAAAAAAATTTTTTTTTCTGCTTCAATTGTGTTTTCATTAATCATTTAATTAAATTTCCAGTGTGACCGTCATTTTCTTTGTCTAGGAGATGCTTGAAAGATATTTTCTTTGTCTAGAGGCTTCCACAAAAAAAAAAAGCACTGCATCGTGGCAGACCGATCACTTCCTCTTATGATTAGGCTGACTGAATTAATAGGAATGTATAAAAACAAAAAAACTAACAAAAATGCATGATGACAAATATGAGCGAATAGATTAACAGGGGATGCGTAATTCGAATCTGCGAAAATTAAGGTTTCCATATGTTGGTTAAGTTGGCCTATCGCGAGGATGCCGTGAAATATGAGTTTTATTACTAATTTCTCAAAGGAAAAAAAAAAAAAAAAAAAAATTATATGCCCGTCTATCCGTAAATCAGCGTCTCAAAAATTCGACAAGCGGTAATGGCCTGACAGCGTTTCGTCACACATGCGACAAGGATTGGCGATACCTGTGATAAGATGAACGATTGTTTCGTTCCGAATTTTCAATATTATGAGATTTACAAATCCTAAGGGTTCTCACCCAACATCCCTCAGCAATAACACCGTTGAGAAAGAATAATGGTATGGTAATAATTAAACACATCACATCGAAGCCGGGTATATCTTTTACCCTGAATGAATTATTCTTTACATTATATTGGACGACTATCTATAATTTCCCAAATTAAAAATAAACCAATGGAACATACAGTGTTGCATGTGTGAATACGTGATACCCCATGAAATCAGGATTTTTCAAAATGGAAACATAAAATGAAAATCTCACCACGTTCATAACATTCACGCCCACGCTCATGCCCGAACATGTAATGTTGATATTTAGAGTTCGCTCATGTGCTCAGATGCACGTACCCTCGACGTTAAATTAACGGTCGCTTGTAATTGAGTGAAATCCATTAAAGTTAAGTCGTGTGACTGAGCGTGAATCAACTATACGCCATAACTAAAAGGATTTACACCACGTGGTGCAAAAAAATTCCAATCGTGGACGAATTTTTAATATTCGAGTAAACAAATTGCACGTCTGTCATCATAGTTCTTTGTTCTCAATTGATTTTTGCGTACCGATAGCAAGAAACCAATTTTAAATAGTATACCTGACGCATTTTATTATTATTTTTTTTTTCTCAAGCATTGGAGAATTACGGGCGTCTTTTCTGCCACCTGGCACAAGCACCAATGCCCAATTCTACATTGGGTCTCTCTGTAAACACAGAGGCCGCACCCTGACGAGACTCGTAACTATGTTCGTTTAGGAGCAGCAGTTTCCGTAACACCACGTCCTCCGCGCTAGGGTTTAATTTATCCACGGAAGATTGTTATCGACTTTGTAATTTTATCCGCCAGTCTAACCATCTATTCCCGGGGGGATTTCCGCTCGAAATGGTGCTCTCCACATTTTGTTGCCACAAGAGTTCCCCATAGTCCATTCTGACACGATGTATGCATGAATCTCGCATTGCAGTTTAGTTACTCAGAAAATTATAATTAGGTTTTCCAAAAGATTTTCTAATTGTGCTAGAAACACAAATGACTATTTACGGTCTAAATTTCCATTCTTTATTCTCACTTGGGTTCTATTCAATCTCAGAAAGTATTCGTGATTCATTATTGTGATCACATAACATGTAATTTGTGTTTCTCTTGAGTGACCGATGGTTCTCTGGAAACTTCATGGATGCAATGCATAGGATCCAAACAATAAATTCTAATACATTTGCACAGATGTCAGAGCGGATCGAAGTCCGCCGGCTTTACGCCGATTTTTGTTCATTCTATGTCCTAATTTTCCAATTGGTCGGCTGCCGGCTTTGGCAACATGGGATTGCATACTCAAGTGACGTCCGTATCTCCGATCGAGTTAAGATAAAGGAAAATTTGATTATCGCCATGCATGCTGAATCTGTGTACGCATGGCAACTAGGAATACACATGATCCTTTATTTCCCTACAAGAGAATTGATATTCCAACTCGGCTTTACTATTCTAGAAACAATGAAATAAATGATATTTTTCATATTGAATGGTTGACAATATCATTATTTCATTTGCAATTATTGTTCAATGGCTTTCGTGGTAAAATATTTAATATAAAGAATCAATCTCATTAGGATTATATAGCATCTCATTATACATGTTAGTATTGAATTTATTTCATAAATATATATATAATTTAATTTGAATAAATATATATAGATAACATATTTAATTTGTAAATTAATTAAAGTTCAATATCATCTATTTTAAATTTATTTATAAAAATTTAAATAATCTATTGTTTTTTTAAAAAAAAAAAATCCAAGTAAATGTTAAATATAGGATTTTATTAAAATATAATATTAAATTATTGTATAAACTATCTATTTAACTTAATAATAACTTCTTTAAAATTATATTATATATTGAAAACTTTTCCATTCACTGTTTCTACTCTCTTACAATCATTTGTTTTTTAAACTTTCTATGACATTTTGCCTATTTTAATTGATCCTAAATTTTGAAATAACATGAATATACATAGCTTTTACAAAAAGAAATTAATTGATATAAAACATATTGATAATAGAATATAAATAAACTCTTATATACTATAATATATATTTGAATAATATCATTGGTAATAAGAAAGAAAAAGGCTTTTTATTTTGATTAAATTAATTAACTCTAATATAATAAGATACTAATATCAATAATATATAAGCAAATCTATATATTAATACTATAAATGAATAAGTTCTTTCAAATATTTTTAATAAAACCATTATACTGAAAAATAGCCAAGTTTTTTAAATAGTTCTAAGTTTAATTAATATTTCAATCAGATAGATTTTAATTGAAAAAGAATTGTTTATTTAAATAAAAATCTTTTGAAAGTCTTTAATTATTTTCTCTTTTTTTTTTTCTAATATAACAATTTATTATTTTTTAAAGATAATTTATAATAACAAACTATAAGTAATAATCTTGATAAATAAAAGTTTTAACTATTTATCAATGGAATAAAATATTGTCTTTTAAATCTAATTTCAAATTGTTAATTTAAATTTTGTTTTATTTAATCAAAACTAGTTTGATATATAATATTTATTATATTTTTTAAATTGTATACTTCTTTAACGAATAATATGCAAACCCAATTTAATCCTTACATAAAAGTTTATATAATATTGTAAACATTATTTTTATATTTCAATAAAATACATTACGGTGATATAATTACAAATTAAAAAAAAATCCTATTATCAATATAATATAATTTTTAAAAATTTATTAATCAAATAGATACTTAATATTTTTTATTTAAATATTATGAGAAATTTTAATATTTTTATTATTATTTCTATTATAATAATAATTATTATTATATAAGTTTTATTTAATAAATTTTTTTTTCAAAAAAACATTAAATTAAAATATTTTATATTGATTAATATAATAAGAAATAAAAAATTATTTAAAATATATTTATTTATTCCTTAAAAAAATTTTTTTTTTGATAATTTTTTTGAAAAAGAAAAATTAACTTAAAACACTTTATTACTTTAAAAAAAAAAGATCAATTAACAAACTATAATACTCTATTAAATATTAAAAAAATCTTTTGTCACTCAAAAGAAATATTAAACAATATATTGCTTGAGTTAGTTTTAGTTTTATAAAAAAAAAAGAAACATATCAACAAATTAATTTATACAAAATTTAAGAAAATCCAATATTAATTTCTCAAGTTTTTAGTCAGATTAAAATTAGTTTATATCTTTATAAATACTAGAAGGAACTTTATAAACAATAATTTCTATTAATCAATCAGAAAAACTCAAAGTTTATAAAGTTTTAAAGAATATCAAAAACTCTTAAGAATTGAACAGTAGAGTATCTTGATTTATGCAATTTTTTTTAATGCTGACTCAGTCTTACTTTATTTGGATTAAGTAGAGATATATATATTATTTATGCTAAAATTACCTATATTGATTAAACTAGTTTGATAGAGAAGAACTCACCTCACAGCCTGACTAATTCGATAGAAAAGAACTCACCTTGCAACCTATTGTCACCCAAATGGGAGCTAATCAATCAAGGCTGGGCCAATACTATATAAAATTATGAATATGTGAGAGGGGTATATAATGTTCTTTATATATTGTCCTATATAATTGTTTATCAGATCTATGTATTGACCTTTTATGTATCTTTCCAATATACTGAGCTATATGTTTTTCTATAAAATGCTGTATCTGACTGTTTTTTAAATTTTTCATATAATACATTACAGTTTTTTCCATTTTTAAAATTCTTCATATCTTTGAATCCAGATGTTATAGAAATATTTACTAGTTTCTTATCTGATTTCTTTTATATATTTTTGTTTTCATTGTTTATTTGATACATATCTGATTATTAGGCTTATTGATAAGTTCCTAAAATATTTAGCATATTAAATTTTACAGATTACTTATGTTCCTTTTTGAGAAATAAATTCATAACTCTTTACTTTAATAGAGACAAAAGTCAGGAAAAGCTATAAATTAATGATTTGAATAATAAAAAATAATTATATATAGTTTTTTTAATTATTAATTTAAAAATTTTAAAGTTTTCTAGTAAGGGATATTTGACTTTTGTTCATACCTTATCCTTTAGAAACCCATCTTTAATTAGGTTATATGTTTCTTTAAGTATAACTTCTTTGATAATATATTTAAGGTATTCAATGTATTTTAGTAAGTTATTTTTTAAATAATGATTAATTTATATTTCTGTATCTTTTATCTCATAGTATTGTCTAACTTTATCAATGATTATATTCCTCATATATTCTTCTATTTTCTATCATTAACCTTAATATATGAATGAATGTGTATTTGTTTCTTTGGATCTACAAGTTATACATTTGTTATCTTTATAAAGGTCTGGAAGTCTCTAATGAAGTTTGACTTTGTCAAAAGTTCTTTATTCTATAGGCATATATTGAATTTCTTTTGATATTGATCTTTTCTATTGATTTGTTGTTTACATATTCTGGTTAGTTGCAAATTTGTTATTGTTGTAGATCAATATATGTGTTTAATGATTCAATTACTAAATTCTATTTTTGTTCTATTCAAGAGTCTTCATCTGGCTATATGTATATGTTTCTTTATCAGTTCTTTGACTATAGTTTTGATAAAAACTTCAAATTATTGTTGTCCCATTGAGATAATAGTATGAAATGTGAATTTTTTGTGTAGTAGGTATAGATTATTTTGTGTCTTTATACTATACTGGGATATATGCCTATTTTGACTAGTCTGTCTACTTGTTCATTGTATTTATTACTTATGTAGACCTTGACTTTGATAAGGTCGATCTTTAAGTGATTGCCTATAATTATGCTTTTGAATGGTTGAAGAATTCTCAAGTTTTTTTGCTTTCTTGGATTGTATATATGATCTGTTCTTGTTACTTTTTGGATGCTATTGATTGCTTCCTGACTATCTGTATAGTTGTTAACTCTGCTATATGAGGATAATATACTGATTGCTATTATAATAGCCATCAGTTCTACTCTAGTTGATGAGAGGAAGTTTTTTATTTATCCTTGTAACTGAAGTTCTTGATTATCCCTAGTTATTATTATCCATCCAAAGTTCATGTAATATTGGTTGCAGTGTCATGACATAGATCTATCTATATATATTCTGAAGTTGATTTTATTTTGTATTTGCTTTGTAATTGTGATTAGTTCTTCTAGGATAGGGATGTTATAGCCAATATCTTTCTGATCTGTTCTGATATCTTATCTCTACAGGTATTTGAACTTCTACATTATTATTTGCTGATCTGTGTTTTTGTTTTATGAATATAGTTGAAATTGAATTTGGTGATACTCTACTTCTAAATATATTGTTTTCTTTTAAGATATTTAATTGTATTGAAATTTTATTATATTGTACTGGGATTTTTACTATGTTCTGTCTACTAGTTTTAAAGATACATGTGAAGTTGAACTGAGTTTTTTTATTTATATTGCATCATGTGTATTATTTAAAGGAGATTTGCTAGGTGTCTATGTATAGTACCTATAAACTGTTAAGTTATTGTCTAACTTTCTCTGTTTTCTGCCAATAATTAATTCTATATTCTTTTTTATTGCTATCTAATATGGCTTCACTATCTATGTATCTATTGTTGGTGTGTATTGCTAAAAGCAATTGATTTACTCTTGTTATTTGTTAGTTATCCATATCTATAGTTTGTGTTGTAATATAAAAAACTATAATGGAATAGGACCTAGTACTGATTTTTAGTCGATTCTTATAATTTGATACTAGTGTAACAGTTTCTCTTTTTTACTGTGAAGAAGTTGTTTTGTAAAGAAAATGCTGTGATTTTTTAGATTAGAATAGATTCTTTTGTAGAATTCTAGTAATAGTATTATCTACTATTC